AAAAAAAACTTCAGGTGTACTACAAAAAAATAATTCTAATTGAAAATTTAACAAAAATTGATAAGTCGAGACATAAAGCAGAAATTTCTGGCTAGAAGCAAAACTGACTGTATCGAACAAGTTATTATCAGTTTGATAATTAACAGCGAGGCTGTGCCGATATTTATGAACTTTCTTATCAATTATCAGCAAGCAAGAAGGCTGACAAATCAGCAATCACAAACTGCCAAAAACGTTTAATTTTAAATTTTCTGCAATGAAATGAGTAATTATCTTGGCACTGGCACTGATACTAAAACAGAGGAATTTCGAACTCCAAATTTTAGTAATACTGTAGCCTCAAGTACCAGACTATGATGAAGGAAATTTACTTGCTCTGATACCCTTGAGGTTTGTTTAACTTACAATGTGTTGTAGCATTTAACAGATCTATAAAACGAAAGAAATCAGCGTGTTGAAAGGCCACTGATGCGCTGGGCCGACCCAGTAACTGGGAAGTATAAAGTGGGGTGGATGCGGAAAGCGCAAAATCTCAACAGATGAAAAAGCTGCCGCTGCACAGATGCAGTTCCATACTGTGAAATAAAAGCTATCAAATTCTAGGACAAGAGCTGATATATGTTTTTTCCACACTGCATTCTAAGTTTTTGCATGGATAGGAGACAAATTAAGAATGTCACTAGCACAAATTCATTGTAGTTATAATTCTCTCTTCGTTTGTCTAAGTCCAGAAAATTCCGTATTCGAACAGCTAGCGGTTTGCTGTAAAATTTTATCATCGGCCAAAGAGATTTTCTTTAAAAAAAATCTACAGCCTCATTTACATAGCGAGAAACGAAATCGCGGATGCTTCATGCTAATGTTCGTGCGATGACTGTGTGCCCAAGCAGCAGCCGATGGCGAATGACGCAAATGTGGTATAAGAGAGACAGACAAATTCTAAAGTACTAAAAAATGCATAAACCATTTTTAAAGCAAAAATCTTTTGGAAGAAGTAAACTAAAGATGCTTTTAGCTACATCGATGGAGAACAGGAGCATGATGATCAAATAGAAGCTGATCAAACAGTTCAGGAAAATGCAAGTAACAGGAAGTGAATGAACAGGCTAAAATAAATGTGAACATAAACACATCAAAAAGTACAAGTATAAAGTATAAGGAAAAAGTAAAGTCAAAATAAAAAATCCCTTTCCTGTCTGTAGCAGGCGTAAGCAGTTCGAAAGGCAGCAAATGCCAGTAATCCACTTGTTCAGTGACAAGGTTTGCTTGAAAGAAAGCTTATGGTAATTATGACTCCCTCGCATACGCCAGGACCAATTTACCACCGAAATGAAATTCCTATTTCTATTAGAGATATTTAAGTCCTGCAATATTCCAGGAGTAATGAGGAAGACTGTCGATCCTCTCGCGTGAAGAACAAATCAGGAAATTCGATATGTAACCATTGTAGCTCAAGAGGCCGAAGAATTGAGGTTACTCGAACGAGGTTCATTTTCTTTTACATTGCATGTTGCAGTTGAAACTAAACTGCCCTGAAGAAATTGAAGTGAAATAAACCTTAGTGCTGAACTCAAAAAATTGTAAACTGAAAGCAGTCAAGAAAATAATCGGCATGAGCCCAAAATTTGCATGAATCCAAAAAATCCAGGTCGCTTGAAACAATCGATGTGGGGATTAGTAATTTTACTGAGATTTCCTCTTACATCGGACGCTACTATGTCAAGCCTCTTGATCCTGAGCTGCGTAATTCAGCACCCGATTTATCGTGAATATTAACCGTTACATACGGATAATTTGCAGGGAAGGGATGCTACAGGAACAACCAAAACCGTTAGGTCCCAAAAAGGTGACAAGAAATACCGTTCCAACTAGTGGGCAGAAGCATCTTCACGCACTGATAAAGAGATATGACTAATTTATAAAGCATTGCTATCAAAAACCATAAAAAATTAACGTAGAGAAAATAAAAAATTTACAGACATCTGTGGTTGAAAAGACAGCCGTGACATAATCGCAGTTCTGTGAAAGTTTCATCCATAAATATTCATGATTAAGACACTCGTCATAAAACTCTTATCATTATAGAAATTCGTATTCTTGCTAGCGGAAAAAGAATAGAAAAAAAAGCATAACGAAAAATGATACCTACGAAAACAATATAACAGTAGATTATGTTTTCAAGCAAAGTCATAATTTTGTTGACAGAGTCACGACTTTTTTTTGCATGAATTTGGTGGTGTTTGCTGTATAAAATATGCAAAAGAGCTGATTATTAGATGGGAAATAAATGGAAAGCAAACAATCGTTGCCTGCTTTCGGGGCATTCCAAAATGAATAATTGAAACGTGGCGAAGGGATGCAGCAGCAGCTGCTGTATAACAACGACGATCCACTCCCTGTGCTTGCCAGCTAGCAGTTTGTAACTCACTCTCACAGGCCATGCTTTTTGCTCACAAAAAATAGCCCTCATAAATTGAAATCGTAAATGGACCTTTCTGTCAGTGTGTAGCAGTCGCCTGGTACTAGTTGGGCTTTTACATGGTTTAGAGCCAATGCGTATCAATGTACAAAATGAAGAGCACTGAGAAACATCAGGGAGACAAAGCTTCCATCAGTTTGCTTCCAGGTAACGCCCGAAAGAGGAAGCTGATTCAGAGTAAACCAATAACAGCATCACAGAATGTGAATTTTTGCAAAATTTGAGCCTGAGCAGGACTGTGCTTTCAAAATTTCTACAGCCGAGCCTCCGTAACTTTTCGAATTTTCAATGACTGATGTTGACAGATTAGTACCTACATTCACGCAAACTTGGCATGATCACTTTATGCATAAAACTAGTGTTGTTTATGTTGCGAAGCCAGTTCACTCAAAAGATGATGAGCTAAGGTGCTATTTCAGCGCGATGAGCTGAGACCTGCAGCCCCAATAAATGGAACCTTCGCTTGTACAGGAATCAAGAACTGATGTTCAAGATCGCTAGGGTAATCAATCTGCAGGTTATTGACTTTTTAAACTTTGTTCACGAACCTTTTGAATTTTGTTCTCGAACTAAAAATACCAAAATTGCACGGAGACATCCAGAAATACGGTTTGCAAACGTGAAAGCATTAGAACATAAAATATGAATTTTTTTCTCATTTCTGGCTCCTTAAATAAACTTCATAAGTTTTTCAGGAAATAAAAAACTTTTTTTTGTAAATAGAAACAAAAATTATATACCACAGAGTAGTTTCCGTACTGCACAGTGTAGTGTAGTGGACTTTGCCCTTGCCTTGCTTCCTCTGAGTACAAGCAGGTCCGGTTGAACTTTAAGTCTCAGATTTCGATGATTTGATGTTGCAGAGAATGCGCCATTCTGGCTTCCTGTCCTCCCATCGACTCCCGTGGAAACTGAACCCCTCTCTCCCTTATTGTTTGCTTGTCAGAGTTACAGCAAGAACTTTAAAGAGAAATAGGATTTAAGCGTGCTAAAATTAGCTTCAGATCCAACACCGCTCAAATGTTCGTGAAGCTGGCCCGGCTCCCGAATTCAGACCTTAGTTGCTGAATTCAAACTTTAGTTACTGGGTTTTAGTTTTGGCTATTGGATTCGAACTCCGGTTGTGCTGTGTCTGTCATACAGAAGTAGGCCATAAATTTAAAATTTTATGTTTAATCAGGAGCAAAACACAAGGCAAATGAAATAAAAGCGGAACTGAGAAACCGAAATTTCCTCCTTTTTCACCAGCAAGCTTAGCTCTGTGACTACGTAGTCAAATGTTTCTTGTTGAGCCATACAACCTTTTTTCCATATTTTCTGAAGTATTCTGCCTCTTATACCCCGAATCTTTAAAGCAAATAGTGCAAAATCAGCACAACTTGGAATTATTTGATGAAGTAATTTTTGCATTTAATTTCCATTTTCTCCTAACCGAAGTGACAGATATGAAACAATACGGATAGTGCTGGAGAAACGGATGTCATAATCGTTAGCAGGCTGACCATCAGGCGTTGCAGTACTGATAGAACCGGTAGTAAAAACTGCCAACTTTATATCGAAGAACAACACTATGAACAACAGTTATCAAAGTCTGGAACAGAAATAAGAACCACACACACGGAACATAGCCGTAGGAAAGTGGATAATTTCCATAAACGTATAAATTTATTTTATTCGAAAATATTACAGTAGCAAATTATTCTAATGAAAACAAATGAAACATGCTCAATCACGCCTTATGTTTGCGTCGTAGAGATGCAGCCTGAGCAAGCTTCTTGTACGGATGCTTGGACTGCTCTTCTTCGGATTCACCTTCTGACTGCGCGCTTTGCTGATCCTTGAAATTGCATGAAATTAAAGCATCATTCAAAAAAATCGCACAGTCACCTAGCTGGAGCTGTTAATGTTTCCGCGTAAATCATCTATAGCTCAAATACAACGATGACAAATCCTATGTTTTGTTTCGTCTGCCTACAGTTGCTACTTGTCATATTCAGTACACCTAAATGGGCGCTTCGTTCTGGATAAGCGGACAAATGATGAAGACAAAACAAGGGCGAAAAACTGTGCATCCACCCAATCCACATAGGCCAAACCATTGAAATTAAAATACCAAGAATATCAAGATGCTAGGACAATAGTTGTGGGTGTTCCACGTTGGTGACGTTGCTAGAATGCTCCCACACAAGGGCACAATTATTACCAGGCCGAAAATCAAAATACAATACAATTTATAATACAAATTCGATTCCGATTTTGATTCCGAACGGCGATTTAATCTGCATTTGAAAAAAAAGCAAACAAAACCAAAATAGAAAGATCAAATGATATTTAGTCAGATTTCTATTTGAATACTTTCACAAGTATAAAAAAATATTTGCATTCAAGCACTCAAGTATTTAGTTATAAACGCAAATTTTACGCCTACCTCTAAGGAATTCTCTTTTCTTGACTGTACCAGTTCTCCAGATTTCGTTTTCTTTTCTGAAATCTGCTGTTCGTGCAACAAAGGAGGAGTGGAAAAGTGTTTCCAGTCATCATTAATTCCCGACTGGTATTCCGAATTTCGTATAATTTCTGAATTTCCCTACAAAATCGAATTACCCTTTTTATGCTGTGCTTGGAACGCATGTTTATTTAGGGTGCCTCAGCTTCTCACGGAGAACGAACTCAAGGAAAGTAGAAGCTTTCGACTTTGGCTTCACTTTATCAAAAGCCATCTTAGATAAATAGCTACGTTCGACCAGTATTCATTTCGGTCTTGACTTGAACAAATTTCCAGTTTAATGGATTATGATCACATCTAACTTTTAGTTAATAAATCCTTCGCTTCTTCGCTTTCTTCAGTTTTGCCAGCTCCAGAATCAGAATAGCCTCGACCTGTCGTCTTTCCAGACTTTTGTTCGCCGTCGCCAATTGAGGTTATTTTGCTTCCTTTTCGTGGGCCACCAGCAGGTGCTCCATTCTTAACGGCACTACGTTCTGGGCACGGACAGTATTCGCCATCAGCACCTGTGTAACTTTCATGGCAAACTTTTTGTTCATAACATTTTTATTAGTACTGGCGTATGCCAGGGAGTCAAAACAGCCATCAGCTTGCTTCTAAGAAACACTTAACAGAAGGAAACAGTTGCTTTCAGCGTTTGCTACCAACTAGATTACTTCCTGACAGAAGGAGCTTTGTTTTTTGACCTAACATTTTTAGATTTTCTAAATTCCTAACCTTTTTTGGCAAAATGGACAAAACATTCAATTTTCCAAACACTACAGTTTCATATTTAAGTGCGAATGATAGTTCAGGATTGCTTTTCAAAAAACCCAGGCTGGAACGCACCAGGCGGGCCCGTGCGATCATGCGTTTTTGCACAGACTTGAAGTAC